AACATTCTTTTTATTTGTAAATAACGTGATCAGCTATGTCAAAAATCCTAATTCTCAAAAAGCTATCAGAAATAATAAAAGAATTTAGCAAGTGCAAAATTGTTTAGAATTTAAGATCTATATAAAAACTTTATTACTATGATAAAAACTTTATTACTATGCACTGGCAAAAATTGGAAATTAAAAATATTTTAATACTATTTAGAATAGCATCAATAATATGTAGGAATAATTTAACAAAACATATGCAAGATCTTGTAAATGACAAAACATCATTGTACAAATTTAAAGAAGACTAAATATATAGAAAGTTAGATCATGTATATGGTTTGAAAGACTCAATATTGTTATCATGTCAGTTATCTTTATTTTGATCTATAGATTTCAGTGCAATTCCACCTAAACTCCTAGCAAGCTATATTTTAGAGTTTGACATTGTATATATAAAATAGGAAAGAGTGGAAATCATCCAATAGCCCAAACAATTTTTTTAAAAAAGAAAACAAAGTTGGAGAATCCTTCCTGAGTTTGACACTGGAAAGCCGGTAATTGAAACAATATGTGATTGGCATGAGAATAAACATATGGATGGAAAAAAATATAGATATCAGAAATAGATGCACAATTGTACATAAACTCATTTTGAACAAATGTTTCAAGGTGATTCAATGAAGAAAAGATAGTCCTTTCAACAAATGATGTTAAAACAATTTATATACATTCAGAGAGAGAAAGAAACTTTGGTCTTTATATCACAAAATACTGAGATTTAACCAAAAATAAAAATGATTTAGCAAGTGCTAAATTTAAATGATTTATTTTTAGTTAAATCTCAGTATTTTGTGATATAAAGACTAAAATAAACTAAAAATGATTTATTTTTAGTTAAAGCTCAGTAATCAGACTTAAATGTAAAAGCTAAAATTATTAAAGTTCTAGGGAAAAAAAACTAAGAACTTAGCTTTTACATTTAAGTCTGATACTGATTTTAACCAAAAATCTCAGTATCAGACTTAAATGTAAAAGCTAAAATTATTAAAGTTCTAGGCACAAAACCAAAAGAGCATCTTTTGATCTTAAGGTAGCAAAGATTCTCGGTACATAAAAAAGCATAAACCTTAAATTAAAAGAAAAGTGATCATTTAGTAAAATTAAAAACTTCTGCTCTTTTTCAAATGACACTTAAAACAATGAAAGGCAAGATACTGATTGAAAGAAAGTCATTTTCAAAATATATATCTGATAAAAGACCTATTCCAGAATGTATATAGAATCTTACAATTCAGTAATATGAAGACATGGCAATGGGCAAAAGATTTGAACAGACACTTTTCCAAAGATATATGAATGGCAAATAAACATATGAAAATGTGCTTAATATCATTAGACATTAGAAAAATGCAGATTAAACCTAAAGTGAGTTGGTTTTTAGAACTGGCTAAAATGAAAAAGACTGACAATACCAAATGTTGACAAGGATGACAAGCACCTGGAACTCTCATATATTGCTGGTAGAAATGCAAAAGTGTGTAGTCTCTTTGGAAAACAGATTGGTAGTTTCTTATAAAATTGAATATTCACTTACCATGAGATGTGGTGATCCAACTCCTAGGTATCTATCAAAGAGAAACAAAAACCCATGCTTAGATGAAGTTCTACTGCAAAATTTGTAGCAGCTTTATTGTAATAGCCAAAATAATAAATGTCTATCAACTTTGGAATGAATAAATACATTATAGTATATCCATAAAATGAGATAGCAATAAAAAGAAACAAACTACGATATGAACAACAATAAAGATGGATATCAACAGCATTATGCTAAATAAAAGTACATGCTGTATGACTTTGCTTACATGACACTTGGGTGACGGAAGCAGATAAGTGGTTTCCAGAGGCCAGAGCTGGAGGAGAGAATTAACTACAAAACGGCACAAAGACACTTCATGCAGTGATGGAAATGTTCTATATAATGATGGTTGTATTAGTCCACTGCTATAAAGAACTGCCCGAGAGTGGGTAATTTATAAAGGAAAGGGATTTAATTGACTCACAGTTCCACATGGCTGGAGAGGCCTTAGGAAATGTACAATCATAGCAGAAGGCAAAGGAGAAGGCACCTTCTTCACAAGGCAGCAGGAAGGAGGATTAATGCAGGAGGAACTACCAAACACTTATAAAACCATCAGGTCTCAGGAGAACTCACTATTATGAGAACAGCATGAAGGAAACCATCCCCATGATCCAATTACCTCTATCTGTTGTCTCCCTTGACATGTGGGGATTATGGGGATTATGGGGAATATAAATTCAAGATGAGATTTTGGTGGGGACACAAAACCTAACCATATCAATTGTGACAGTGGTTACATAACTAAATACATTCATCAAAACCTGTTCAAATATACATTTTGAAGTGTTGGATTTTATTTTATGTACACTATAACTGAATAAAGCTGATATTTTTAAAGTATAAAGAAGGCAAAATAAAAACATGTTTGCACCAAGAAAAATCCTCTGAAGTCAGTATTATTCTAACTAGAGCACATGAAGAGCTTCAGCAACTTTAAACAGAAATACAGCAATGAAGGCAGGCCGAGGAATTAAGAATAATAAACTAATACATTTGTTACTTTTTAATAAATTCACAAAATATTTAGTAGCTACTATGTCTGTACAGCATTGAGCAAACTAATTGAGATATAATATTTATTTAATCATGACATTTATCTTTCTGTGCCTCAAATTGTAGTTAAAAGATAGACTCATAAACAAGTAATTATTGTAGCATGAAGGTGGATGTTGAAAATATTTTGAAAGTGCTGTGTGAGTATAGTGGACAGAGCTGGGATTTGACTTTAGCCTAAGCTCCATTTTAGTAGGTAACTCGATAAATATTTAGTGATCTGTTGATTCAATTCAATTGCTCTTGATTGAGTATATGCCCTATATCTAGCACTGTCCATGTAGTTGCTTAGAGGAATTTGCCCACTTGAAGCACTAAATTTTTTGTAAATATGTTATTTTCTCTAAAATGATTTGGAACTCCAGTTATTAAAAATGTTACCCTCATCTCGCTCTTAGTAAGACAGAATTAACAGGAAGTGAAAATAGAAGATACAAGATAATTGTTTTACTCTTGAATGTAAATATCTCAGTTTGCCTTGGCCTTTTGCAACTAGCAGTTGGCCACTGTGATAACATTCTGTTTGGTTGGCATTATCGCTCAGTTTCCTTCCTTGTAGAGAACGTTATGCAGATTGGCTGCAGCTGTGCTCCATCAGATTCTTTTCCTCTAGGCTACAGGGTCCTTTGACCACTACTCCTAATTCCCCTCCCTTCCTGCTCAAGTGTATTTCATCTACAATGCATTTAATGTGAAGTTTGACAACTTCTTTTTTCCTGAAAGAAGTATAAGTGCTTTTCTCTTTATGAATATTTTTCATAGATTAATTGCTTCCTCTTTTATTACAAAATTTCTTGGAATGTTAAATGTACTGAGAAGCACAAGGTCTTTAACTCCCTTTGTCCCAGAGAAGTAAGATTCCCAGCAGACTGCAGATTCTTCCTGAAGTGCTCTGGAGGCTTTGGCGAAAATGAACTCTTCTCAAGTAGTTAAGTGATAATTCAGCAATTCTCATAGAAAATAAGAATCCAGTATTTTTAAAATCTAGAGTTTAACCCTGAAATGTGTTTACCTTCCTCACAAAGATGTTATAGAAAGACATTTTTGAAACTAACAATCTTTCTTCTCTTCAAGTGAAATTATAATGAGCCATGTAAGTTTATTTGTATATTTCTGACTATTGGTAAATAAAATTAAATGCACATACACATTTATCTTTCAAAGGAATAGCTTCATACCTTTATTTACAAATACAATTGTAGCCTTTTATTTTTTAATTAATGTATTTGGTTTTTTTTCCTGCAGTATTAGCAGGAAGTCCAGTATGCTACCCATGTCTTAATGGTCTAAACTCTCTAGGTATTGTTATAAAGGGCCCTCACTCCATTTTACTCACAGCAGGAGAAGAGAATACCAATTTGATCACAACACAGTTTTATCGTTTCTCACTACCATGTGCTGTTTTATTCTCCCAAATGTCCTGACAGATAGTGCCTGTGCTGTGCTGTAAGGGGTGATTACATTTCCTTACAGTTTAATTGGTAAAGGGTGCCCCAGATATGATGTCTTAAGGGTACAGCTTTAAGCACTCATCACTTTTAGTTCAAATTTCTAGCAGCTACCTCCACATAAACCTAGAATCCTCATATTCCTTTTCTTCTGGCAACCACATGCATTCCGCTAAGGCTACTTAGAACTATTAGAACTCCCTTTCAAAGGGACACTCCCTCAGCACTCCCAGAATGATTTCCTGTCCTCATTGGTACCTTGAGATTGCTGGCAATTTTTCTTGCTAAAAAAGAGGAACACACTTTGGTAGGCCAAGGTGGGTGGATAGCCTGAGTTCAGGAGTTTGAGACCAGCCTGGCCAACATAGTGAAACCCCAGCTCTACTAAAAATACAAAAAAATAGCTGGGTGTGGTGATGGGCACCTATAATCCCAGCTACTAAAAAGGCTGAGGAAGGAGAATCACTTGAACCCAGGAAGCAGAGGTTGCAGTGAGCCAAGATCACGCCATTGCACTCCAGCCTGGGCAACAAGAGCAAAACTCCATCTCAAAAAAAAAAAAAAAAACAGAGAGAGGATGTGCGCACGCACACACACACACACACACACACACACACACACCACACAATCTGTGGTAGAACAATGCCTTTAATGGATATCTCATTATTTTTAAATGTGGTGATATTATATATGTATGTATATTGGGATATCTCATTTGTAAATATGGTGGTATTATATATGTATGTATATGTATCTATGTACAGTCAGCTCTCTTATCCACAGGTCCAACCATGGATTGAACTGAATCACAAATTAAATATATTCAACAAATAATAATCAAATTATAATACAATAACAAATAACAGTTTTAAAACAGTACAGTATAACAACTATTTACATAACATTTACATGGTATTAGGTATTGTAAATCATCCAGAGATCATTTAAAGTACATGGGAGGATGTGCATAAGCTCTATGCAAATATTACATCATTTTATAAAAAGGGCTTGAACATCTGGGAATCTAGTGTGGGTGTTCTGGGACCTATGCCCTGTGGAAACCAAGAAACAACTGTATGTGCATATGTATAATATAATGTATTTGTATGCAGTTTATATTCTATGTGCATGCATTGGTTTGAGCTTATCAACAAACTATAAAATACCTATTAGTTGAATTCCTATTATGTACCAGCCACTGAATACAAACTTAATAAGGCATAATCTGCCTCTTTAAGAAATTAAAGATCCAAACAATAAATAAGCTATTATAATGTTGTACAGTAAATACGGTTTTAGAGTATTCTATATGCATAGAATAAGATATTGGGGGCAACAATCAATAACACATTTTACAAGAACGAATTTTGCTCAGGGAGGAGCAAATTCAATAGAATCATGGAGCTATCAGCAGATTTTACTCCACAATTAAGCTATAAATTCATCACCTGATATTCTTCTTTTGTCTTGGATTCCTGACGTTGGGAGAGTTGTTTTGGGTTTTTTGTTTATTTTTAACAGCAAAAATTATATTCCAGTTTACTTTAATATTTGGCTTTTTATTTCTGCTATGGAGAAAAGCATGCATTGTAATCTCAACAGGTATGTTTTTATAAGTTTGATGACTGGACAAACCATATTAGTGACAATAATGGTATGTGGAACCTGCATATTGTTTGTAGGTTTTTAAAAATCTAAGCATATTCAATTTAATTGAAGCTTCTGACACAATCAATTTGTTACATTCAACAAGATCATTTGTCAATGAATGGGTTGACCTCCATTTAAAAATACAAAGTGGGCCATATGTGACAGCTCATATCTGTAATCCCAGCACTTTGGGAGGCTGAGGTCGGCGGGACTGCTTGAGCCCATGAGTTCCAACATAGTGAGAGCCCCAACTCTACAAAAAATTTAAAATGTAGCTGACTGTGATGGTATGTACCTATAACTGCAGCTACTGGGGAGGCTGAGGTTGGAGGATGCCTTAAGCCCAGGAGGTTGAGGCTGCATTGAGCTGTGATCATGTCACTGAACTCCAACCTTGATGACAGAGCAAGTCGCTAACTCAAAAAAAAAAAAGTTTCATGTGTTGCTTTGTAATAATAAACATTAAGAAGTAAGCTTATCTCTTTTTTATTTCATGTTATCATAGATTATTCTTTACAACACACATATAGTGGGAACCACAGCGGAACAGTCAAATGGTGTCAACCATATTCATGAGAATTTCACAACAAATTTTTATATCATTATTGACACATGAAATTATGATTAAAACCGGAAGCTTTGCTATGTTTTCATTAATACTTTAGTAACAAAGAAATTATTATTGCTTTAAAATATTTATTCTATTTTGGATTTTTATTATGAGTATTTAAATCAAAAGGGAAGAAATAGTAGAAAATGCATTTTATAATTTATTAAAATTTAGAATTTTAATCTATTTTTTGGAACCAATTACTAGCCTTGTCTATTAGGTAATTGTAGGAGATTTCACATTATCAGATATTGAGCAAGACCAGAAATACTGTGGAAGCTGTTTATCCTCACTCTGCTTGTGTGCAATTGTATGTGAGTGAGCCTTCAACCACTACACAAGCAGATCTCTACGTATGAAACTTAAATGACTGCCTATTAATTCAGCAGAACTTAAAAACAATTTTGAACAAAAATAAATAAGCTAATGAGCTTCTTGATTGTATGACATCATCTGGGATGAGGTTAGGGAGGAGTTTAGAGAGGGAGCAGGTTAACTTTGACCTCTACAATCATTTACCTAATGCTTCGAGTTCAATAACTTCATTCAAAATTTTGCAATAAGATTTTGTATTATGCTTAATGTGGCACCACTTGAAAACCTCAATTTGATGGATACCTATTTTACAAAGAAGGACCTTTTTAGGGAAACAAGAAGTGTTCTATTCTACGCATTAATAAGGTGATTAGATCACAATGGACACATGTAAGCAGTTTTGGGGGCACATGTATAATCCTAGCTAGAAGAGACTTTGGCAAGGGAAGCAAGTACTGGGCAACATGTTTATAGAACTTGTGATAGAGCCTCCAGAAAAACACCAACAACAATATTTTGCCCATCATTATTGTTAATCCTTATAATTTTTCCTTCAAGGAGAGATTTAAAAAGGCATTTGGCATTAATTTTGTTTTGTTTTCAAGTAATAGCTACCTCATTAAACCTCAATTTGACAGTGTGGGCTCATATGCCGGGTTATGTTAGTTCAGCTTTTCCCTGTCAAATGGGAATAATTCAAAGAAACTCGCCAAAGTGAAACTGACTTCCCAAAGTACTAAGAAATATTGCTTCAGAAAAAATAAAACTGCAACATTTGGTACAATTTATTTTGCCCATCTTCTTGAAGCATATTCGTTTTATTAGCATTAAAAATTACAGTTGTGTCATTTCTGCAGCTGACAGTGGTTTGGTTCAAACCAGAGTCAGTGGCAGCTGCAAAAATAAGGAAACATCTTGTCTGTTGCCATGAGAGGATTACAGTATAACTCACAGCAAGCCAGCTTTAGGCAAACTATCTCAGGTTTGTCATGTAAAAATCAAAGTCACGTGTCTCTACATGAGTGATGTTAGTTGAAAAACTTCCAGCCTACTAAGCAGAAATAGGTAACCACAAAGCCATAAGGCTTTCTGCATTTAAAGGACAAACCAGTAGGGCATTCTCTTCTTGTAGAGCAGTTTTCATCCCCAAAGCCTGTCCCATTCCTGCAGTGCTAATTGACTTCTCACCCCGCACCAAAGATACTCCGAGGAGACACTGGTTGGAGAATTGCTTCCAGCACTGTGAGACTCTCCCCTAATAAGAGTGCAATCTGCTCTTCCCAGGCCCTACTGCTAATTCCTAACCCCTAGAAGAGTGTTTTGTTTTGTAGACAGAGTCTTGCTGTGTTGCCCAGGCTGAAGTGCAGTGGAGCAATCTTGGCTCACTGCAATCACCACCTCCTGGGTTCAAGCAGTTCTCCTGCTTCAGCCTCCCAAGTAGCTGGGACTATAGGTGCCTGCCACCATGCCCAGCTAATTTTTGTATTTTTAGTAGAGACAGGGTTTCACTATGTTGGCCAGGCTGGTCTTGAACTCCTGACCTCATGATCCACCTGCTTCGGCCTCCCAAAGTGCTAGGATTATAGGAGTGAGCCACAGCACTTGGCCTAATTGATTTTCAACCCATAATCACAGCAAGGAATCCATTTTCATTCAGAACCTATATGCATATATGTGTATGTTTATATACACACACACACACACACACATATTTATATGTTATTTTAACTGACACAAAAGCTTCATGAAAAATATTCATCCTTAGTATTCAGTTGGTGCAAAAGTAATTGCAGTTTTTGCAATTAAAAGTAATTACAATTACTTTTGAACCAACCTAATATATGCAATGCACTCTGATAGTTTCTATTTTATTCTATTTTGTTTAATTTTATACAGTTGCTGCAACCCACCAAATTGACTACATGACACACAAATTTGTCATGATGCACATTTTGTAAAATACTGCCAGAGTTCAGTACTTCTCAAGTCCGGTTATGCTCAAAATCACCTGCGGTCTCAAAAGAAGTCAGAAATGGGGAGAAGGAAACTGGAAGCGATTGCATTAAAGGCAGGCAGATATGTTCTGCCAAGTATTTGCTGTATGACCTTTGATAAATTACTCAACCTTTCTGTTGAATGATGATAATGGCAGTCTTCCACAGAACATCCTGGTGTACATGAAATGACATAATACCAGCAAAAACATGTTGCTTTAAGTCTGAAACATGGTAAGAAGGCATTAACACTATCCTTAAGTCTTAAAATCATACTACTTCTGTAGTTGAGTTGTATTACTAATGTGTTAAGGGGATTTTTCAAACATGTCCTAATCTGCCTGAAACATTGCGCATTCCCTAGAGCCAAAAGTAGATTAAAACCCAGTCACCTCATTAATACTTTGCCTAACTACTAAATCTGAGGTGTCTAAACAAGATACTATTGAAGTGACCAAGTCTTAACCTGGTTGTGGCCTCCACTAAAGGTAGTAATAAGGTGACCAGGTTTTAACCTGTTCTTGGCCTCATGTATGTGTTGGTTTTTCAAAGCAGGTGAGAATCTGCTTTAAAAGTCTATTAAAATATCAAACCATAAGACTAGTTCGGGTTTTTTTTTTTAATTAAAGAAACATGAACTACAAATATAAGGGAAGAACTGAACAGAGTTCAACAGGAACGCCTAATAATAATCTTTCACATAATCCTAGCCCAATTTTCCTGAAGAACTATAGTAGATTGAGTCCACATTGTTCAAGTGAATATTGAGGCTTTTCAAGTGAATAATTTTCAATTTAACACACAATATCCTAAATCTGTAGGTCTTAAATGGAATCAAGTAATGAGTATTTATTGAATAACTAATTCCAACTATACTTAAGCAGAGTCCTAGTATGCTAAGAAATTTTGAAGTGCAGTTCCTTCCTTCGAAGTACTTACAGTATGACTTGGAAAAAAATATTTTAAAAGATATGGTATTTATAGAAGACCTGAGGTATAGGAAGGCAACAGATAAGGAAATGATTGTCATTAAAAGATAGTTACCCACAGTTACCAAAAAAAGAGGGTGCACCCAAGACAAGGAACCTCTCTTACCACTCCTATTCAACACAGTATTGGAAGTTCTGGCCAGAGAAATTAGACAATAAAAAGAAATAAAAGGTATTCAAATATGAAGAGAGGAAGTCAAATTGTCTCTGTTTGCAGATGAGATGATCATATGTCTAGAAAACTCCTTTATCTCAGCCCAAAAACTCCTTAGGCTGAGAAGCATCTTCAGCGAAATCTCAGGATTTTTGCACAAAATCAATGTGCAAAAATCACAAGCATGCCTACACACCAATAATAGACAAGTAGAGAGCCAAATCATGAATGAACTATCATTCACAATTGCTACAAAGAGAATAAAATACCTTAGT